AAGCGATGTACATCAGAGAGTAAGAACAAGCAAGGATCTAGAACAACGTCAGTAAGTGCAAACGAACAGCTTTAAGTCTGATGGGACACAGCTGACAGGCATTGCACAGAGGCAAAGCACAACATCGACAGCTTTTCTTGAGAGTTCTGCATCAAAACCTTTCTAAAGATCATCATCCTCATCATCAATATCATTAAGTGTGTAGGTGAAATGAAAGCGCTGGGTCTGGAGTTTGGTAGTTCGTTCCACCACCGGGAGTTGACAGGTGAGAACAGTCTAGTTAGACAGTTAGGGTCCTGTTGTTAAAGGTCCCATATTATGCTTTTTCTGGTTTTATATGCTCTTTAGTGTGTTTTCCAAGTGTCCTGTGCATGTTTAGGCACATCTATGTGCAAAAATTTGAAGTCCGCGGAAACGCGGCTTCTCCTACGTCCTCCTGTTAGCTGTAGCATTAGCTGCATGTAACGCTCGGTTCTAGCCCCCCTCGATAAAAATTTGTCAGTGTGACGTCATTGTCAGTGTGAGATCACTGATCTAAGCCCTGCAGCTCATGTCGAAATTCCGAGACGCGTGCTGAGCAACTGACCAATAAGGACAGAGCGGATCGGCAGACCAATCAGAGCAGACTTGGCCCACGTGGGGTCTAACAGTGTGGGCTCAACAGAGTGCAGCTGACGGACTCAGAGCGTAGAGGGAGCAAGGAGGAGCAGTACATGAAAACAGACACGGACTTTATCTATTGTGAACGTACAAAAGTAGGTACATAGATTAAATATACGAACCCCAACAAGGGCATAATATGGGCTCTTTAAGGTTGGATCAGACGCCTTTCATTGGCAGAGCGTGGTGGGCGGGAGGGAGTGTAGACGTGGATGAAAGAGTTTGGGTAAGCAAGCAGCAGGGCTTGAATTCTGGTGCTGAATGGTTTCTTTTTGTTTTAACAAGAGAATTAGGCGGTTTAAGGCATCTCCACACCACTGTTTTGGTCCTTGGGTTTGCAAGACAAACAATAAACCAACAGGTGTTGCAGCGATGGAAGAAAGCCAGCGAACTGGTTCAGATATAGCTGATCCAACCTAAAAAGCCTCGGCATTTTGTTACAAGCTGTCTAGGTTAAGGAGGCCAAGCTGGGGATCATTTGTTGAATACAGTTAGGTTCTTCGGTGCTGGTTTCTCAAAGGTGGCAAACCTCTGGTTCAAAAAGTGAGAGGAAATATATGGTGTATGAAACAAAAACACACTAGGGCACTACACACACAGAGGCTTTATGACCCTGTTGGCCTAGCAATAACTCCTACTTGATGGAATTTTTCAGATCTCATAAAAATCATGTCACCTTCACTTAGTAGTAATGAAAAAACTTGATACTTAAACTGACTTCGGGGCCTTTTGCCTCTGTGCGCTATTTCAATAAGGCTTCTGTGATGTGTTGAAAATTCCACTTTGGAAGCTCTCAAGACCTTTCTCATCAATCATCACATAGAAACAGACACGTTAATCCGTAAAACCTGTCCTTAAAACCTGAGAATTTAGGAATGGTTAATATCTTTTGAATCCGTACAAAAAACCGCAATAGATGGATAATTGACCATTTTAAAATAATGTTATGAATGAGAAAAATACTGAATCAGATGATTTTACACCAAAAAGGTATACAAAAAAAATCAAACTTTGGTGAATGTTGTTACATTACCAAGGTGTTGTTGTGTTTTTGAATGAACCTGATTTTAAGCACACTAATGGCATTTTTGTCTTAATTTTGATTAATGCTTACAGTTATGAATTTCCTGGATTACCTTCAAATGCTTTATATCATAACATCTGCTCACATCTGTTCTGTATGTAGATTATTGTCTAGCTTGTAATTAAATTAATGTAAACAGGATTAGCCAACTCATGCAGGAAGTACAGGGTGGGTGGGGTGTTGCGTTTTATAACATACAATGTTAGCATTGTACACAGACCAAAACTGGACTTTAACAATATAACACTGTTGGTGTTTTTTTTTTGAGTGCATTATTAAAAAACAACAACAATTGATTACTCATTTGTCCTGTGTTGAACTCACACACAGCTACACCCACATCCCAGCAGATAAACACACATTTACAGACACAGCTGTAACGAAAACACACGCTGCAGCTAATCACCTGGCTGTCTTCAGGGAGCCAGCGGAGAAAGACCATGTATCTCCTGGGTCAGTGATCTGTGTGAATTATAGATCACAGCTTTTCTATCCCAGGTTTTGTAGCCGGGCCCGAGGGACACACTCGGCAGAAGGATAGAGAGCATGATAGGCACGCACAGGACAGAGAGAGATATAAAGTGTGGAGGGAAAAGAGGGGTGAGCTATGGAGCCAGTTGTTACAATAGAATTTACCATCTTGCAGAACACAACTTATTTTTAAGAAGACTCCAATAAACTCCCCCTCCTGTTTAGAATTACTCGTCTGATGTTTGGCTGTTCTGCCAATGCTGGATTACTTGAAATCCTGTAGGCAAGGTGAGCAACTGCTGTGTTTGTGCTAATCCAGCTAGCATGTTGATGAGGCCTTGAGTCTTCTTTGTAACCTCGTCCTGAGGCCCCCTGGGCAGGATACCTGAGAAGTTTTCAGACCTCAATTGAAGAGATTTGAGCTAATATGTTTCATAATCACAAACGAATAATAACTACGAATTATCGAGCTAGTAACATTTAAACAAATAAAAATGGTTCAAGTATAACTGAATCAGTATGGTTTAATTGTCCTGGCAGATAAGCTTTTATCAGTGATGGGCAGAAGTTACATAACATAAAAACACTGATCCCAATTAACAATATGACTGAAAGCTAGAACAAGCTGACTGGATGTGTTTCCCTTTATGTGTTTGTATGTTTGTATGTATGTGAGTGCATGCTTGTTTGAGTGGACGTGTGTTCGTAAAAGTAATTCACTGTGATAACGGAAGTCAATGCAACCTCTGTGTTTCTGTGTCTCAAGAGAGCGTTTGTCTTTGATTAAAGCACGGTGAGAACGGCTGACTGCACAGGAACCTTAATTGTCTCCCTGAATCACTGCATTGTGACTTCTGACAGTAAAGCCGACATGACCGACTGACTCCGCTCTCTGGTGTGCAAAGTGCAAGTAGTCAATTGCGGCCTGCCGTTTGATAATGAGGTTCTCATGTGTAATTCTGAACATTTCTTGGCTGTAACCATCTGCAGCACAAGAAAGTTGGTAGTGTAGCTTCTTGTGTCAAATGATTTTGGAGTCAGTTGACCTTTAAATAAGACCCTTTAGTAACTGTAGGTACACCTGTTCAATTGTTCATTTTTGCAAAGCACAAATGGCGATCATTGTTAAGCGTAGTTACAGGTTTGCTGCTAGAAATAAGTACTATTTGCTTCTGATTTCAGACAGACGTAAAAAAAAAGGAGGCTTCGACAGTGGATTGTGTTTTTAGGTAAAATCTTCAAGCTAATGTTGACGAGTGTTGACAAATGCAGGCGGCCCATGGAAAATGTAGGGACACAAGTGGAATGTTTAATGAGGCCCCCCCCCCACCAAGGCTCACAAGACTCACAAAATGTGTGATGCTCCTCCACAATCATTGCATCAAGAAAACCTAATTTAGCATCCTTTAGGAACATAGTGTTTGTCATTTTTTAACTTGGATCTCAGATAAAACTAAAATGTGGCTCCTACATTGCATATTTACTACCGCTAACTTGGTTACTTTACATAGAGTATTACTTATTATTGCAGATGCTGGAGGGGTACCCACAGCATTATACTTAACATTTTAGGGACACAGACCAGGTTGCCATATTTTTGTCAAGTATAGTGAGAACATGTGAGCCAAAGTCATCGTCCGCAAATGATTATCCTGTTTTTCGTTTTGTCCTTGCTCTCAACTTCCAAAGCTATGTTTCCTGATGCCTAGAAACTTAAACATTCTGTGCAATCTTGGTTTAACAGAACCTGGATTACCGTCTTTTTGTAAAAGGTTTCAAATATATGGGAGGCCGGACTGAGAAACACATTATGGGGGAGGTGATTTTTCAAGAAAATGCCTAAAAAATGTAAGGTAGCTCTGACATGATGATGAGAGTTAAATCAGCAGCTCCAGTCTTGCCTGAAGCAGCCAACTCCTCTGCCAGTTCATCATGTCGACCTTGCTTTCAGTGCAGCTCAGAGGTTCTTTAATGCTGTCGTCAGGATTTCATCTTTTTACTCCTATCCTTGAGAATGTCTAATTCATTAAGTTAAAAACAGCTTTTCAACCTGTCCACATTAACAGGTCTGCAACACCAGTCATGTCTGTTTTTGAATAGATTCCCCCCCCAACGTGACATTTAAAACAGGTCAATGAAATGATTGATTACCTAATGGATCAATACGCAAGAGTGTCGCAAGAGCTCCATCGCTTAGTTTGTCTGTGTGAATGAACCGTTATTAGAACTGTGATTGACGGAGACAACTCAGGGCTTTATTGATTTACAGGCTTATTTGTCACTTTTTGGTTGTGTTTACCAAGAAAAATGTGAAGAACATTTTAGCCTGGCCTCGAGAATCTGAACAGTAAAAAAACGTACAAAGCAGCACTTTTGACTCCCCATGGGCTAAGCTTTAAACTCAGACTAAAAGATTTACGTCAACAAACCTTCAGGCCACGGTCCTAACCATGAGTCAGGGAAGACACTGAGGGAGAAGAGGAAGAAATGAAGGAGATAAAGAAAAAAGGCACTTTTCTATTTTTTATTATGGTCACCCTGCAAGCTGCCTGTCCACCTTGAGGGTCCCTTCAACTCAGAGATTTTCGGAGAAGGATTTGTTCCAAGAATGTGTATGGATGAAAGTGTGAAACCAGGAGGCTGTGGTTCTGCACTCTGATGCGTGAAAGCCAAGACAAAAGAGAAGAATCATTGCTTTGGTCGTTTTTTTTTTTTTTTTTTTTAAACAAAGTCCCCCAAAATTCCCGTATTAAAATCACAAATGTTTATGGTTTTGTTTCCACAGGTTTATGAGAGAGGGACCAACGTAGAGCAGTTTGTGACCCGTTTCCTGCTGAAGGAATCAGCCAATCAGATCCAGTCTCTTCTGAGCTCTGTCGAGAGTGCCGTGGACGCCATTGATGAGCAGCACAGCCAATCAGGGTGAGCCAATCGGGGAACCGCCATGTCAGGTCGTCATGTGTGGAATCAGGAAGATGTTGGTGTGCCTGTGTGTGTGTGTTCGGTGTGTATGTGTGTGTGTGTGTGTGTGTGTGTGTGTGTGTGTGTGTGTGTGTGTGTGTGTGTGTGTGTGTGTGTGTGTGTGTGTGTGTGTGATTGGCTTTGTGTCATAGTCCTGTTGTCACACTGAACAAGATAATGGACCTAAATGCAAAACACTCATGTGTGTGTGCATGCGTACATGTGTCATGGTGGTGTGCGTTTAAATGGAAATGGATGATGGAAATGAGGTGGTGCTTCAGGAACAAATCTTTACTGGTTCTGTCTGTCGCTCACACATATTTGAACACACATAAACACTCCTAAACACTCATACACTAAGAAGTAGTTTACACCGTGTTGGTGCTGGTTTAGCTAAGTCCAAAAACAGGCACCCCATAAACAGAGGCTACGGTCCTCAGCACATCAGCAGCAGGTCGGACTCCCAGCCGTGGCCCTTTGATGCATGTCTGCCCTGCTCTCACCTCCCTGCATTTCCAGTTCCTTCTAAACTGTCTTATCAATAAAAAAAGGTAAATTCCCCAAAAATTAGAAAAATAGATTTTATTCTCTTCTTTTGTTCTTCCTGCACAACACTCTCCATTTTCCCCAAAACGAATTCCCTCTTCCCCCTTACTTTATCACCTACTTTCCATCTCCCGGTTTTTCAGTCATCTACCTGCCAAGGTGAGTCCACGGATGCCAGAGAAGCGTAACGAAAACTCTGTCCCTGACTACCCCCCTAACAACAGAGTCAGTGCCAGGGAGGCCGTCAGGACCATCAACACTGCCTCAGGTAACACACACACACACACACACACACACACACACACACACACACACACACACACACACACACACACACACACACACACACACACACACACACACACACACACACACACACACTCACCCTCTGGGAAAGCAGCAAATGAACTTTGAAAGCCACTTAGCAGTTTTCATTTGTGCACACATACACACACTCTTATCATTAATTTAGTCAATTGGGATTTATTCTCCATTGTAAAACACCTCATTCAGACTCCTGCACAGGTCTGCTTCAACTGTCCTGCAGCTTTCAGAGCAGCAAAGATAAACTGGGAGAAATGAGGGAATAGAGTTTGAAGAAGTAAAGGGAGAGCAGAGGGAAGAATCTAAAGAAAGGTTATGGGAAGGAAAGAACGAACGATATAAGGAGAGCTGGTTATTTCTTTGGGTTAAAGTCAGACCTGTAAGACCTGTTACATGCTGAATACAATAAAAACATGCAGTACTGTTCAATTTTCAAAGGATCGTGTTTGTGTGTGTGTGTGTGTGTGTGTTTGTGATTCTCTTTAAGGATTTGAAGGACCCTTGTTGGTACCCTCTAGCTGTACATTTCCTTTTTTTTTTTTTATCCTTCCCTACTCTCTCTCTCTTATTCTGTTACAACAGTCCTCTCGCGCTGTCTCTCCTCCAGATGGTAGTTAACTCCGCAGCTTACGGTGGCCTTGACACTCTGCACCCACTCGAACAAATTGCTCGCACAAGAAATGACACTCCAAAAGTCTTTGAGATATGACATAACTTCATCACAACTCGAACTTCACTAAGAGGAAGAATCAAAGTCAGAGAAACAGTCATAATGAGACCAAAGGAAATAAATAAAAGCTTTAAAGGGCAAAGCAGAAAAAAAGACAAAATCTATTACTCCTAAGGTGTTATCGACAACTGTCAAAGGTGTTCATTGCTGTTATCTCAGGGTCGGATGGTCATTTGGTCCACAGACAGCAGGGTGTGAAAAGTTAGCCTGAGAAAAAAAAAAACACAGCACACTGTGGAGATACGGTATAATACTGTATATGTCACTGACAAAGCAGCTGTTGTACATCTGTCCTTTGAAGATGTCGACCTGCTTTGACCAATAGAGAGCATTGTAGAAGCTCTGTTTCCCATGTCGTGAAAATTTGGACAACAACACTGGCTCATTGTTTTGTGTGTTGTTCCTGATACAGTATTGTTAAGCTGCTCTGAGGAATTTTCGTCCTTTTCCTAAACACACCATGTATTTTCTAAACAAACACATTTTCCAGCATTTTGAACTCCATTGTTTTAATCAATTCTATTAGTCCTCTTTTTTCTGTTGTTATTACATTGCTATTTTTAGTCACAGTGTCAACAATAATTGTTAAAGTGTGAAATCAACAACAGAAAGTAAGACATCATGCTCATGTGCATGCTTGTCGTCTTGTGTATTCAGGATACTCTATAACGCTAAACTTTCATCTAAAACATCAGAGTACAGTCAGCTATAACTGTTTATTTTTCAGTTTTTATGATCGTAAAAGATTTGAAAGAGAAAAAGAATTGCCTTCACATAAGTGTATCTTTTAGTTTTAAACGTGATTTCCATCCAGCCAGTCGTCATGGTTTCTGTTCATTAGTGTATTAGCTGATGAACAGAAACCTGCAGCTTAAAACAAGTTTTACATTAGTCTCTTTTTTTTTTATCTGGACACCACTCCTTACTGCCCTTCATCAGGAATGCTGAGAGCCATTTACTCCAGCTTAGGTTAGGAAAAATTTCGATTGCTGTATTTGCACACAAAGGTCAATTTGGATGACAGTGAGTGAGTCTTCAGACTTCTACATACACCAATCAACAGCACAAGACAGACTTGTGTTATGCTCCACTATAAGGAGGAACTATGGAGCGGACAACAACAATCCAAAATTTGACCCAACGAGGCACATAAATCACCTTAACAAAGTCAAACAAACAGCAAAGGGAACAACATACAGCCATAACTTTGACTCTGTAGACCTTAAAGTTTAGTGTTATAATAAAATTGATCTGATTTTACAAAAGAAATATGTCCTTAAAACATTGAACCTGTGCAAGAGGACTTGATTTCCCTCACTTAAAGCCACAAAGATGAATCCCGTCAGTAGAAATCTGAGTTGTTCTTGAGGTGTTTATTTTCTCAGAAATTAAGTGGTGGGTTTGCATGTACTGATAAAAATCCTTTTTTACAGCTTGTTAGACTGACAAAAATCATCAAAAATGATGGGTAGGTGTGAGTCAATCTACCATTTATTAGCAAACACTTATAAAGCTTCCATCTTCTGTCGTTTGAGGCATGTTGCTCTTTCAGTTTGTTTTTCAGGAAATACAACACCCATTCACTTTAGCTGTAAGGCAAGTCAACGCACTTTGCTCATGTTACACATTAACCATGATGCCCTGAAGTGTGATTGTGATTTATAAATGTGGAAAGGCTAAGAGCACATCTTAAAATCTAAATCCGAACACAAAGAAATGGCCCATCGATGGAAAAAGATTGCTGCTTTTCTGTGATTTTATCTGACTGAGTGCTTTGCTCGATTCCCACTGTTGTTGTCAAAGCAATTATTGATTTAGTGAGTGATCAATGAGGCAGAATTGATCTTCTTTGTCTTAATAAACACAGTGTTCGATCTGTGGCCCTCACACTGCACTACATCTGTGATGAACAAAACACTCACATACAGTCCCAGCTCCTGTTACGTGTGGCCCATTTCAGGGCAGACTTGAACACAAAACACAAATTATTTTGACAAGAATTGGTTAACCTTGAAACACTTTGTGATGTGTGGCCCTATACTGATGCAGTCAAGGGAGGACAGTGTTGCTAACAGTTACCTTGATTTCCATAAATCTCTCCGTTTCATTGGGATGTCTACTACACACAGATTCTGACATTGCTGTCAGGTTTGATGGGGCATGGCAGTGAAGGCTCTTTGTTCTTATACAGCCTTGGATCTGACAGCACACTGCTTTATACAGTTTTGTCCTATTTCTCTAAAAATATGTCCTCAGGCACGAAGCACACTGTGTGAAGACAAAAGACACCGATATAAATACACAGGAGCACACAAATACAAACACGCGACATAGAGAATTAGTTATTTTTCTGTCAAAACATTTGCCTATTTTACGCCCTCTAAAATATATTAAGCAGTGAATCTACAGTTGTTGTTTGCTTTCAATCCAACAGTAGTTGTTGGTTGTTGGTTTTTGTTTAGTTGAATTATTTAGGTTGTGATTCCCCCTTTGAATTCAACTCTTCACATGCCCAAAGTAAAATGAAAAAGATTATTTTCACAAATTAATATGAAGAAAGCTTGTATTCATTTCTGTTTATTTAGATGTAACGAATAACTGACAAACAAAAATAAAATACAGCATATACCATTTAGCCCCCCCCCTAATCTAATATTTCCTTTAAAAGAACTAACCCCGGTTTATGAAGTCCTTGACCCTGACCCAGACACACGTGTTAATGGAGACTATATTTGCAGGAGATTAGCCACGCTGACACACACTGACAGCAGTGATAAAAACCAAAGGGCTAGGAACCTCCTGGGAATGCTGTGTGTGCTAGTGCATTACAATAAAACATGCAACCAAAATAGAAACCACTGCAGAAACCTACTGATAGAACATCGTATATGTACGACGGAGAATTAGGGCCACGTAATTTGTTTATTTATTTATTTTTATTTCAAGATTATTCTCGTACATTTACGAGTTTAATCTCGTAAGTGTACGACTTTAATCTCAATTTTTTTTTTTTTTTTTGCCCTAATCATCCGTTGTATATATGCAGTTATGTTTTTGGGCCTTGGATTTTTTTTTTAATGAATGCTGATGTGTTTGCTTTCAAACTAAATAAAAGCTAAATATTATTTATTTTCCATGAATATAAAGCTTCTCCAGTACACCAGTGGAGTATCCTAATTAATGAAGAGAGTCTGCACCAAAAGCAAAAGCTTACTGCATGTCTCGCTTATTTTATATGAGTTCTGCCTGATTTATATTTCTCTGATTTCTAATTAAAACAGAATGTTCATAGCACTGTTCAAAGTGCATTTTATATATAATTCTGCAGCTAACTAATAAAATAGATATTCTGTCTACCCACAGAAAACATCTCTACGGAATTTGAGAAGGTTTCAGTAAAACCGTGATTGCTACTGATCAATAGGCTCTGCTTCATCAGACTCTATATTAATTATGTCTTTTAAATACTGTACAAACATCTTTAATGAGGATAACACACTGTTGGTGCTGAATCTTGAACATAACTCCTAAAGACTTATTATATCTTATTATGAAGGTAGTATGTTCATTTAATTCCGTCTTTCCAGCTTGAGAGCGTCAAAGTGCAATAAGAATGGCAGGTTAAACTCAATTTAAAAGCTTTCTTTCAATAAACATCTGAACCCCAGAACTTGACTTTTTTTTCAGTTATTTCAGTTCTGGTGGTGCATGGAGAAAGAAAAAGAAATGAATGATAGGTACAAAGATGACAGGTCCAGCTGACAGGACTCTCCGTTTTTATCTTTTCAAAGCCCAAACATCTGTCACCTGTCAGGGATATAGTGAAGCTCACAGCATGTTCAGAACAGTCAGATAGTGGACAGGGGAAAGGGGAAAGGGATTATTCATCCTCTTAAGGTGACACATAGCTACATGTAAAGGTTTTACATGAGGTTCTAAAATCTTGATGGGCTCTCTTAAACCTCACAGCCCCTTTTAAAGGCGCAATATGTAGAATTGTTACACTAAAATATCTAAATTAATTGATAATTGACTGAACCCATGTTAAATAGTTTTTCTTTTGAGTTCTAACATTACCTCTAATATTTTCAACAGTTATCAAATCCAGAGAAATCCTACATTTTTATAGTTGTAACGCCCCGTGTCTTTCAAGGAGGCCACAGTGACAGAGCCGCCATGACAGACACGAGATGTTATCGTTGCCATGGAAACAC